ATGTATATATACAAATAAATTCCCATGTTTACCTACAAATACAAGTAGTGATGTTATTCCTCAACTATTGACAAAGTACTTGTCCCAACTGTCTTGAATGGATAGCCATTGCTCTTCTATAAGGGGAGTTTTGCTGCAATGATACTCAAAAGTATATCCTGTGCATGGTAAGAAGTCTTCCAACATTAGCTCTCTCTGGCTATAACAGTATAAAAAGCTTGAATCAGGATACAAATCTGCCCTGTGACAAAAAGCATGGTTTGGTTTGGTTTGGTTTTCACTCTGCCTGTATAGGGTGAAATTGTAAATATTGTTAAATTATGAGCAGAGTATCTGCTGCCAACGATCAACTCTGGCCTGTACAACAAAATAGACATTAGCCAATGTGAAAGTGAGTGTGTCTGGCTGTGAGCTGAAAAACAAAAAATACACAAACAAACAAACAAGCAAAACACAGTATTGATATACTGTGGTATTTAAATGTGGCATATTTACAGGTCACAAAAAAACTGTTTTTAAACCATTTAAACATGTAAACATTATTGACTGTAAAAAAATAATAGTTTGTTACAATGGTTCTAAACCTTCCTCTATGTATGAAATTATAATGCTAACATTTTTATCTAACTTCCTGCGATTTCTGGTTTTTTTTTTTCCTTCTATACTCTTTAAAAATTGTATATACTCAATGCCCTAGTGAGGAGTGACTAGTATTTCACGTCTTCCTCACACCTTCTAGGTTGATGGAAGATTTCTCTGCTTTTCCACCCCATTACAGAATAATATAGGGAATTAAAAGTATATTAGGTTTTACAATTCTCTGATGAAGATCATAAACAGTCTGACTCACATTGATTGTTGTTTCATTGGTTACTTCACAATATCTGATTTCATGTGAGATAGGCTGTTTGAGGTTGAGATAATATTACATTTTACAGGTACTATTTTTCTTTTTTTTTTTTTAAAGATTTATTTTTATTATTTTTTTCATTGGAAAGGCGGATATACAGAGAGGAGAGACAGAGAGGAAGATCTTCCGTCCGATGATTCACTCCCCAAGTGAGCGCAACGGCCGATACTATGCCGATCCGAAGCCAGGAGCCTCTTCCGGGTCTCCCACGCGGGTGCGGGGTCCCAAAGCTTTGGGCCGTCCTCGACTGCTTTCCCAGGCCACGGGCAGGGAGCTGGAAGGGAAGCGGGGCTGCCAGGATTAGAACCGGCGCCCATATGGCATCCTGGGCGTGCAAGGTGAGGACCTTTAACCACTTGCGCCACCGCGCCGGGCCCAGTACTATTTTTCATATTGACATCATTTCATCTTAAATTAAGGCAAACATGTGCTATCTAACCTTTTGGGATTGGCTCATTTCCCTTAGCATTATGGTTTCAAGTTGGACCCATTTGGCCACAAAGAACTGCATTTTTTTTTAAAATAGCTGAGTAGTATTCCATGGAGTGGATGAACCATAGCTTTCTTATCCAGTCTTCTCTGCACGCCCCTCCTAAAACTGTTTTGCACCTAAACTGTTGACATATGTCTTGTTAGAGTTATAAGCTAGTCTAGACTACCCAAAAACATAGCCAGGTTCAGCAAAATTATGCTTCAATGCTGTAAAAGGCTAAACACTATAATGAAAATAGACACACGACAGCCGAACAGTAATCTGTAACTATTCTAAGGTGTATAGAACCCGTTGTATATAAACTAAAATTGAAATGTCAGTGAAGTAGTCACAGGATGTGGTTAAGAACTTGTATTTATTTTAACATATTGGTTACTCAATACTCTGTCAATTAATTCCATAACATTAAAAATTATTGCTGATGTCATGTTGGAGCTTTTAATTGATTGGGATGATACTCTTGCTGGCTCTATCTTCAGACCAGAGAAGGTCTCCCCAAGAAACCGTTGAACTTATCTGGACAATAAGATGCTGGACTCTATACTTGGTATATGCTTGCAATGAAGGAATCTCAGCTGAACTTGCACTGTGGTTATGCAACAAGGTGGAGGAATCCACCATGGGGGGAGGGTATGGGGAGGAGTCAGAGGAATCCCAGTGCCTATAAAACTGTGTCACATAATGCAATGTAATTAATTAAATTAAAAAAATGTATATACTTACAAGGTAACTTGTTGGGTTTTGTTTCTGTTACAATTCCCTTTTCTCCAAAGTATTGAACAAGCCATTCTGAAGTTGTTCATCCAGTCAGTATAGTTTGAATTTGAGCACAACAATCATTTAAAAGAGTGGTATCAATCAGATTAGTAAATGTTGATTCAGAAGAGCAGTTAATATGAAGTAGGGACTGAAGAATCTGACTTGATAGATGAGAAAAGATTGGTTTGGGAACTGTATAAACTGGTATGGAGGAAGCCAGAGTTTTCAGGAACTATGTTGCACTCTGTAAAACTTTATGTCTCTGAATTTTCATTTCTTTGGAAATTTAAATATATGATATTTTAAGTTTCTACCAATTTCTTTCACTTTGCCAATTCTAGAGCATGCATGCAATATGTTATCAGGAAATTGTTTACATGACAAATATTTACTATGTACAAATTTTTATATTGGCTAAATTAGGGGAGAAAAACATCAATGGGCATTACTACATTAAGAAACATATTTAAATGACTCATTAACCAGCGATTGTGTTGGGTATAATCCAATAGACACTTCTGTTAGGGGCTACAGCTAGTGATAGCCAGCACCCTTTGGTAGTGGGCAAAGGGAATGTGGCTGTGTCCCCTACCCTCTGTCCTGAAGATGGGGCCTAACAGCAGTAGAACTTTAATTTCATCCTTGGAAAACCCTCAGCCACTCCCCCTGACCACCTAGGTGTTTGCTCCTGCCCACCTTTGACTCTCACCTATCATCTGAGAGGGAGCGGTATTGCATTGTCATGTAACCACTCCTCTCATGGCTTTGCTGTCTTGGTCATGTGCTTCTGTTGCTCTGGCACTCTGACTCTTAGTCCCCCCGTACCTCTGAGGACAGGTAACCCCCTAAGCATGGACCCTGTGTGTCTGTATTTCTCTCCCTCTGTCTAACTGCTTAGGTAGGACAAAGAAGATAGCAATGTTATTTCTGGTTTGTGTGCTGTCGTGAGTTCTAGGAGGGGTGAGGCCTAGCAGTAGTGGAATGTAGGCAGAGAAGCCAGGGAAGGATGAATGTATGCAGCTTTGTAAGTGTGTCCAGGTTATCCCTTGCATGTTTCTTAGGACAACTTATGTTGTTGGGGAAGCTGGGACATAGATCTTCAACTTAACAGATGGACTTAAGGACAATGACCATTTGTTCCTTTTGGATTATGTTTGGTTCATTATGATTGGTTGGACTGCCATATGGCCTTGTGATTTGCTATTTCTAGTGTGCTCTGTTATCACCAAGCTTGGTTAACAGACTCCTTAATAAATCTTAAATGTGTCTGGTGAGATCTCACTCACACCCCGTAACATTCAATATGTATTACACTAATCACACAAACAAAATAATGCATGTTCAGAGTGGTCTAGTGTTTGATTACAGTGCTTGTAGACAGGGCCTTCATAAACCTGGGAACCATCCATGAACTGAACGCAACACTTTCTGAAAAAGCCTATGATGAAAGTACTAATTTTACTAAATCTATGATGCTAACTTTTTCAATCTAAGTTTATATTATCATTGATTGCTTGTCTTTATGAGAGTTAAATTTGGTTTTTGAAGCCCTTGTGTCCTATCTCCTCAGGGATGGGGAAGGGTTCCTGACCAGCAGGCCCTGAAACCACGAATGGGTAAGGCAGTCTTGTTCTTGGCCCACAAGAACCCCTGGAAACAAACTGTTGGGGGCTGTTCATTTATTAGGGAGAATTTACAATCTTATATTGAGAAAAAGGCAGAAAGCAAAAGGGTGATCCCAACAATATTCCACCCATCAATTATTGTGATTTCCTAATAGAGATGCCTGTCTGTCTGGACCCTCCAATCACATTTCATGTTCTGCCCGCAAGGTGGAAACTGTGTCTCAAGCCATTGGCTGGTAAGTAGAGATTCAGGTGTGTACAAACTAGCTCCCGGGCTGAAAGCTATGCCTTGGGCATATTTATCACATGTGGCTAAATAAAGGTCAGAATGAAGGTCACTTTTAACTTCTAGCTTTACTTCCCAGGGAAATCCTAGCACAGCTTGTCAAGGACAGAGAAGAAAGGCTCAGATGCAGCCCAACACTCTTGCTACTTGCCCAGTGAACTGGCCAGGTTGGGATCTCAGTTAGCCAAGACCATCGTCAGGGGTTTCCCTTGGAGTCACAGTGTGCCCGTGTACCATGTGCCTAAGTCCTCAAAACAGGATAAGAAGGCAGAGATCCAGGGGCAATCTCCCACACTATCTTGAGTAGTTTTCCTTTCATTTTTGTGAAGAGATGAAGACAAATCCGCTGATATCTGTGTTTAGGACTGCTATTCTGAGATTGTCATTTTACTTAGTCCAAGCTCCCAAGCAATTTCCGCTTATATTTCATCTTCATCTCTAGTTTAATGGTCATTTAAGATATTAAGTAATTCAAAGGACACCTAGAAATTAATGACTGCTAGATTTCTTTCACCTGTTATTCTTGGGAATTGGTAGATAAAGCTGTCTTCTTTCTTGTTATTCTAAAAATGAACCCCCCCCCCCAAAAAAAAAACTCTTTTGTACATTATTTTCTTGGTTTTTTGTGTTTTTTTTGGACTATAAGGAGACTTTAATAAGCTAAAACATACTGACAGTGAATGAAGTTACCAGACCAGGCATTTAGAAAAGCCATGAATCATGGTTAAAAATAATAGTATTTTTGCTACCTTACATAACTGAAATATTATCTAGCTCTGTAGTCATTGTTACAAAAAGCCCATTCTCATTTGGACATAATTTATCCTCTCCAAAGCAATGACTATTATACACAATTTTTTTCAAAATTTTAAGCATGTTTTGCCACTTATGAAGTATGACTTAATTGTTAACTCTTTAAGAGTTCTCTAAAAGAAATATGAAATTTTAATTTTCATCTCAAACCTGTTTGAAAGGTACAGTACACTTCACAATCATTTGAGTTAAAATGGAGTCTGTACAATCATGGCTGACAAGACGTTTCAACCATTTCACAGCTATCGTTAGGCGCAAGAATACGGAACTGCTTCGGATAGTTCATGACAAAAAATTGGAATTAAAAGATAAGTTTGATTTGTGGTGCAAAAATATTTTTAAATCCATGCATAGTTTTTTCCAGTAATATGCATTTTCCGTGATTTTAAAAGGCCTCCCTCCCAAATGGTTTCAAACTGTAGCATTTGCATTTTACTCTAAGCTTTAACCATACTGTTACTCTTCTCAACAACTCATGAAAATGGCAGTGTTCAGAAGTACAAAAATTTGTATAGTAGTAGGTGGTATTTTATGGTCAAGATATTGAGAAATCTTTATAAAATGCAGAATGTGTTCATTACCAGTTGGCTCCAAGACCGGAATCAGAAAAACGCAGTGCAGAGAATCAAGTACTCTGAGGCTTTGAGAAAGCCAGAAATGATGTTACTCTAAGAAATAAGCAATAGTAATACAAGATGTGACTAACTGCTATGTTTCTTATAAGCCAAAGCACATTTTTCACCTCAGAAGAGAGCTGTTTCTCATTGTTAATAGCATGGGTGCAGAACAGGGCCCGTTTTACAGCAGCAAGTAGAGTTCAAAGCTTATGTTTCACTTCCCAGGATGCTTCATTTTAGTGCCTAAACCACAAAATGGCAAATGACAGCGTCAGTTACAGAAAACGGGGGATACAGTTTGAGTATCCCTTACCCGAGATGCTTGGGGCCAGAAGTGTTTCAGATTGCAAATTCTTTGGGATTTGAAAATGTCTACATATCCATAATATATGCGATCCAAGCCAGGACATGAAATTCATTCATGTTTCACGCAAGCTGTGCACTAGCCAGAAAGTCCATTTATACAGTATTTTTAGGTTGCCTGTGTTTTGACTGTAACACATCTCATGAAGTCAGGTGTAGAATCTTCCACTTGTAGCTTCATGTCTATGCTCCGAATATTTCGTCTTTTAGCACTTCAGATTAGGGATACTCTATTTGGATACAGATGCTAATTTGCAGCAGTTGAGGACAGATGCCAACGCACACCCACGCCTGAAAGCTGACTGGGTGCTGAGGTCAGGAATTCTGTCCGTTCAGATCTGGTTTATGTATTGAACGCGTCCCATCCAGAGGAACCCCAGCAGGGCCTTCCGAAGCGGCTTCGGTTTTCCAGTGATTTCCCTCTGGCTTCAGAGCCCGGTCAAGTTGTCAGTCCTTCTTCGGTCGCTTGGCTCTTGCAATATTTTCTTGGCGTTTCTGTTTCTTCTTCTGCTCCTTCTCCCTGGCTTCAATCATCTTGGCCAGTTTCCAGGAGAGGACTGCGCTTGCCAGCAGCAGAGGCGTGAGGGCCAAGATGACGGTGGTGAGGAAGCCGTAGGGGTCCTTGGCGGCCCACTCCACCACATACTCGGCCCAGGCCTTTATGTCCAGCATGGCTGCAGCAGACTTAGGCTTGAGTGGTGGTGTCTACCTCTGCCCTGGGGTCATCCGCTAGTCTGAGATAACCGTCGCTGCTTGTCGTCCCTGGTCCCCCTGTACACTTCTGAGATCCGCACTGTAGCTTTTGAGCGCTGCCCCTCCGCCTGCAAGGCTCGGGGCTCCTCCCGCACCTGGACAGATCCACGGCCAAGGGCCGGCCCCAGGCTCCCACTACACGGCCCCCCGAGGCTCGGACTCCCTTGTACATTGTTTTCAAAACAATTTTTGATTTCAGTTTGTAGCATTCATGGAACTATAGAGTTTCTTTCTAATCATATATCCATAGTCCTTGTTGAGTTAAATATTTGGCTCAGCATTTGTCATTTCAACTATGCAGACAAAATGAGTTGCCAGACTGATAAAAGATATGTAGATGTCTAGCAGATAATATGTGTTTTCAGAAGTGTAAATTAAAATACGAGAACACCCTGGTGACTCAGGAGTTCCAATACACAGCTTTTCCCTGCATCAATATCCTCCAGCTTCACCATTTACTAGCCATTATTGGTCATGATAGTTAAAAATTTCATCTTCTCAGATGCTAAACTGGAAATCTCTATTACAAGATTGGTGCCTCTTCTTATTTTCCAGGATTCATACAACAAGTTTGACACCAAAATATCTGGGATAGCAATCTATCAGTTCTTATTTTATTTTACTGCTACATGACGTTGAGATCTTTGAGACAAAAGAGACTGTATCCATCTTATTTATTAATTTTTTTGTTCAGTCCCAGTATATGACTAAGTATCTGACAGAGAGAAAATTGTTCATACTTACTGAATAAAGTATTAAACTCCTGAGTCTCATATGTAGGGGAGTAATTCAACTGAAGAAAACTACTTTTTAGAGCACGATGGGCCATAACTCAAACGTATATTAATTTTCTGTGTGATTTTTTTATGGCTTTAGTTCCATTTATGTCAAAATATCTCTTCCATATTCAATCATAAAGTAAAGTATGCATTGTATAAACATTTCAAGTGCTCACATAAAATATGGGGCTAAATCAATGTTACTTTAGCTGTCAGGAAAAAATGTACTAAAAGCAGAAGATTGTTATACAACTTATTGGCCCAGTGTTAAATCAGCTAACACTGGAAGATAAGCTTGGTATTTGAATATGTGTGGTGCATTTCCATCGATTTTCCTGAAGTTGAATACATTTCTTTGCATCTTTATTTCACAGATATCTGTTTTTTGGAATTTTTTTCTACTGGCATTTGCTGAAGGAAATATTTTTAATGTGATGTGTGCAAATATTAATCTATTATTTGAGCATTGTGTGAGAGAAATTGCTTCTGAGAATATCTGTCAATAACTTTGATACTAATCAAATGTAATTTCTGAATATGTGAGGCCAATGAAAATGCCTTGTTGAATGGTTATGGTATATACTTGAAGTATGCACATTAGTTATCCTAAATAGACTTACAGAAATATGATAATATGAGTAAGTAAAGCAGAGTACTTGAAAGTATTTTATATAAAATATCATATGTTCAAGTGGAAAAAGTATAAGAAACACATACCAAGAAAAAATGCACTTTTTTCATTTTATTTATCTTTCTAGCTAATGGAATAAAAAGGATCACTCAGGTCTTTAATCTGTTCATTCTGTTGAGGTCTAGCAGATGAGAACACGGCAGCATCATGCAGAATGTTGCTGAGTGTGACATGTGTACTAATAAGAGGCATCATCTTTCCCTGGAGGCTTACTTAGCCCTCCACAGCAACCTTTCCCAGTTTCGTCCAAGTTTTGGAATGTCCTCTGAATAACAAGAGTAAGTGCATACAATCTATAGAATCAGCTCTAGGAAGACTTTTTAAATTTAGTAATCACTAATAGGGCTCTATTCTAAATGCAGTAATGGAGCAATAGTGACTTCAAATTTTTTTCAAATGATTTAGTCTTGAACTTGGATAGCAATCTCTGGTTCTTCTCCCTCTAAATTCCAGTAAAGGTTGAAAAGTAGGCCAAGAAAGGAGAAAGATTCATGACATTGAAAATAAAGGATGACAGAAAATATCATGACAGAAGCAAGAGCAATTTTAAAGCATTCATATCTGGACTTAGAAAAGCTTTACCACCATAAGTAAATCATGATTTTTATATCATGAAATGAATGCATGAAAAAGTGTGATAGTTTTTTGTCATTTTCCTAATAGTGCTTTCTGACTCTGGACTTGCCATAATGTGAAACCAACCAATTGTCCAAGCCCACCTCATAGATGATGCTTTGTAACAGATCTTCTCTCATCACCATGCAACCTTGCTGCCCACTATGTACCAGATTCTGTCAGAGATGAACAATGACCAATTATCTAAGCACAAGGTTCTATGTATTTAAAAGAGTAAGAAATAAAATTTCAATTCCATCAGAAGAAAGATAAGAAATTACAATGAAACTTATAATAATTGCTATCCACAATCAATAATCACAAAAACATGGAAGCAACCGAAATGCCCATCGACAGAAAGCTGGATAAGGAAACTATGGTTAATCTACTCTATGGAATGCTACTCAGCTATTAAAAGAACAAAATGTATTTCTTCGTGGCCAAATGGGCCCAACTAAAAACTGTTATGTTAAGGGAAATGAGCCAATCCCAAAAGGTCCGCTATCATACATTTGCTTTACTATAAGCTATTATGATGTCAGATCTAAAAATATTACCTGTAAATTGCATATTATTGCACTACCAAGCTGTCTGTACCATAAGCAATAAGATATTGTGATGTAACCTTTGAAGCAATAATTCATGAGAGATGGATTGCAAAATAATAATAATAATAATTGCTATCTCATAGATATATACTGTTATCTCTTTGATTATAGAAACACAACTCTTATTGAATGCACAAAATGTGTGTATAAATACCCAAGATCATGATGTAATAACTAATAAATAAAAATTATAGTATTCAGGTGTTAATTAAGCTTTCTAATTTTGGAGGGTAGAATATTAAATGTATTAAGAATTAAGATTAAAAGAATTTAATCATCAATTACTAATTAAACCAGCCAAAGAGAGAAAAAAAATGTTACATTGGTTACTTCCAAGCACTCACAGTTGCTCAGAAAGAGCCAGGCTGAAGCCAGGATCTGGGAACTCAGTCTTGCTGTGACACATGATTCAAAGGACTCAACCACTTGAATTATCATCATTGCCTTTATGGATGTACATTAGCTGGATGCTGCAATCAGGGGCCAGAGCTCATATTTAAAATTATGTGTTCCTATATAGTTCAGCATCTTAACTTCTATGTCATGCTTCATGATTACCATTTTATCATTCAGATAGAAGACAAGAAAATACAAAATGATTTGCTTAATTTCACATCAAAACAAGTGAGGAAATGATTGACTGATTAAAATTATTGTAGAATCCATCATACTTTTAATTTATTTAAATAACCTTAGTACTGGTTCATGTCCCAGCTGTTCCATTTCCTATCCAGCTCCCTGCCTGTGGTCTGGGAAAGAAGTCAAGGATGGCCCAAAGCCCTTGGACTCTGCACCCACTTTGGAGACCCAGAAGAGGCACCTGGCTAAGATTGGCTCAGCTCCAACTGTTACAGCCACTTGAGGAGGGAACCAGTGGATGAAGATTTGTCTTACTCTCTCCTTTCCATAAATCTACCTTTCAAATAAAAATAAATAACTCTTAAAAATAGAAAAAAAGAAAAATAAAAGCAATTGGGAGTCTGTATCTGTCTCCCTCTCTGTCTTTTCATTAAAATAGAAATTATTTGCTGCGAAAGTGGTCATACATTTGCACATTAAACCCAGGACAATGAAAGGAAGTATAGGCAAAGGCAAAAAGAAATAAAATTTTAAACATAAAAATAAAAAAATACAATCATTAAATACAAAGCTATTGAATACAATACAATTAAAATTTTTAAACTTTTATAAAGTTTGATCAAAAAGGACATGGCTTACTAACAAAGGAAAAAAGGGATGAATCATAAAAATATTACAGAGAGAAGCAAGTTAACAAGGATATATTATTAATGACATCATGTCAATCCATTCAATGTGTAATGTACGACAGGAACAAAATGTAAAAACTGCCCAAGCTAATTTAAGAAGAAATGATCAAAGTACTTTGTAACTACTGCAGATACTGAATTCAATGCTTAAAAACCTTTCAGAAGTTTTAGTCCTGATTCAAACTGACTTCTCTGGAGAAACATACCAATTAAAACAAAATACAAAATTGTTTTCAGAAATTAAAAAAAATGAAACACTTCCAACTTCATTTGATAAGACATGCATTGCGACCAGTGTGGCATGAACATGACTGGAGATGGAGACTATCTGTAATTAAGATAAAAAATGAGATAGACATAAGATAAAAACTACAAAAGTGGGTGCCCAGAGGAAAACCCCATTTTCTGAGGAATGATCTAGAAGGTTCAGTGCCTCAATCTTTTATTGAACTAACTGGGTAGCCAAATTACAGGATATAATATGGTACAAATGTTGAGAACTATAGCCCACATTGGTGTCAACCAGTCAGTGTTTGATGATCAGGATGCAACAGTGTGACCCAAGTAGAAGTCAGTATGTGACAGATTCAATGCATTTTTCCTAAAATCAAAAACAAGCAAGAATGTTGACATTCATTGCTCACTAGCAAAGCTATAGTCGAGTTCCTACTTACTAAATTTTAAAAAGGAAATAAGAATCCCACAAATACAAGAATCAATGAACATTTTTGCATCATGAGTGTCTTACTGATTTCTGTATAAAATCTCAAAGAATTCCCAAGACTGTTGGATTGGATAAATATGTACAGTGAAATGGTTATTATATAAAATTCAATGTATTTCTATGTGATGGAAATTAAAAGTCCAAGGTTTAGACATAGCCAATGTCTCTAATAGCAGTAAATATGACGTATTTACAGACAGTTGCACCAAAATATATAGCAGATGTTTCCACTGAAAATGTAAAATATTTGGTGAGGAACAAAAAACAAGTATGCTATAAATTTATAGAAATAAATATGTCCTTAGACTGCAAAAATTTAAGAAACTGATAAATTATTAAAAAATTTTCCAAACTACTATAAATACAGAATAATCTC